TTAAACTTAAACCCCCTGAAAACCTCTCTATGGAGTAAATAAAGAAAATCCGCAACCCCAAATACCCATCAACCATCCTCAAATCGAACAAAAATATGAATTTCTCTTCCTCACTTTCACTCCTTCCTCGAATTTCTTTCTTTTATGTAAGTTCTCCCTCTTTCTCTCTCTATATATGAGTGCGTTTGTTTGTGTGTATTCAAAATGATCCTGGTATATGGGGGTGCTGTTGCAGAATTTTGATGGGAGTAAAAGAGCAAGTGGGTTTTGGAGAAAACCAGAGAAAGTGAGGAGCTTGGTGGTGAAGTCAGGCCCCAAGAGGATATCTGTTGGGAGAGAATGCAGGGAGGCATTGCAAGCTGGGATTGACAAGCTAGCTGATGCTGTTTCTGTCACTTTAGGACCCAGAGGTATCTGGGCCTTCTTGGTTCGTCATTTTCTTGAATTGTTTGTTCTGGGTTCTTTTCAATTTGTTTTGTAGAATTAAAACATGTTTTGTGGAAAGATGAAAAATGAGTGCCTTTTCTTTTTCTATTTCTTTCTTCTGTTTGTGTATCTAAGGGTTCTGTTTGACCTGTTAGCATGTCTTATAATTTTATTGGGGTTTGAATTGGTGGTGTTAATAAATACGGTGATGATGCTTATATTTGAATGAGCGTTGTTGATTTTTTGGGGGCAATATGTGCAGGACGTAATGTTGTTCTCTCTGACTCTGAGACCCTGAAAGTAATTAATGATGGTGTAACCATTGCTAGAGCAATAGAGCTTTCGGATGCAATTGAAAATGCAGGAGCAATGCTAATACAAGAGGTCTAACATGTTGCTTAATGATCGTTTATAAGTTTGAATAATTTGTTCTTGCATATAGCTAATTAGATCTTAATTTCAAATGACTGGATGCAGGTTGCGAGTAAAATGAATGATTTGGCTGGTGATGGCACCACAACTGCAATCATTTTGGCCCGAGCCTTGATCAAATCTGGATTGTTGGCAGTTTCTTTTGGAGCTAATCCTGTTTCCCTAAAGAGGGGAATGGAGAAGACTGTAACAGAGTTGGTCAAGACCTTGAAGGAGAAAAGTTTCCCTGTGAAAGGGAGAGAGGATATAAAAGGTCATTATTCATACTTGAACTGAATCTTAAAAATTGTTTTACTGTTGAAAAGAGAAAGGTTATGATGCTGTTCTTCTTCACAGCTGTGGCTTCAATCTCTGCTGGTAATGATGAATTTATTGGAGACTTGATTGCTGAAGCTGTGGAGAAGATTGGCACTGATGGAGTAATTGTTCTCGAGTCATCTGCATCATCTAAAACCTTTGTAATACTGGAAGAAGGCATGAAGGTGGGTAAGATGTTACTATTTTTACAAGTATGTTAGTAGTGCTTATGTTAAACTAGTTGTTCAAATATAACACCAGGTCCATTCTTTGCTTTTTCTTATGATCATTTTTCCTTTCTCTAGAGATAAGAATTTGATCTAAACTCAGAATACTGGGACTTTGGAATGTGGCTGACATTTATCCAAAACAGATGCAATCCAGGGACTAGATGTTGCCTATACTGGATGGTTATCTATGGGTTTAAACCAATACTTTCTGATTTAAATTGCCTCCAGCAGAAACATAATGCGTATTGAATTGTTGTCCTGTTAGTTTGATCGTAATGCCTTTCTCATTTTTTTTTTTCTTTAATTCTTTTGAATTCTTTCTTGAATTATACTAATGTCATTCTGTAGGTTGACAGGGGATATATGTCACCGCACTTCATCACAAACCAGGAAAAATCTATCGTGGAGTTTGACAATCCTAGAGTCCTGGTAACTGACCAAAAGATTTCAAGTGTCCAAGAAATTGTTCCTTTGCTAGAGAAGACAACACAACTCAGTGTCCCTCTGTTAATCTTTGCTGAGGATATGACCTGGCAAGTACTAGAAACTCTAGTTGTGAATAAAAAGCATGGGATACTTAATGTTGCTGCTGTCAAATGTCCAGGATTGTTAGAAGGAAAGAAAGCCCTTTTGCAAGATATCGCTATCATGACAGGTTAACATAAATTGTGCATCCTTGTTTATTTTTTGGATTAGGTGTTAATGGAACTCTCATCTCTTATAACATGGATGGCAATAAATGAAACATTGTGATTGTTTCTGCTCATATGATTATGTTGTGGAATTTATGTTGACCCTGCCCTAAGTCTCTCTGGTGCCTCATTTTATTAATGTTATTGTTAACATTTCTTTCATGTTATTTCTCAAAACTATTCAATATGCATTGCAATATGACATGTACTTCTCTAGAGTCTACTCGGTAAAATCTGCCACCAAATTAACATTATTGCCAAATCATCAGGTGCTGATTTTCTTTCTGGAGATTTTGGTCTGACTCTAGCTGGTGTAACTTCTGATCAGCTTGGTGTTGCTCGAAAAGTGACCATCACAAGCAATTCAACAACAATAGTTGCTGATCCTTCCACAAAGGCTGAAGTCCAGGCAAGAATTATGCAGATGAAGAAGGATCTAAGTGAGACAGATAGCGCATACATGTCAAAAAAGCTCAAAGAAAGAATTGCTAAACTCACTGGTGGTCTGGCAATAATTAAGGTTTGTAGTACGGTGAACAATCAGTTCATATTAAGCTGGTCTTGTAAAATCTACCCATTTACCTGAAGTTATATGCTTGAAAATTGCTTATAGTGCTGTGAACTGAAATTGGCAAAATGCTTTTTGCCTAAAATATTTCTTGCCAATCGTGTCAGCTATAAGCTTTTCTTATGATTGTAATCCTTAAACCATTGTAGGAACTTCTAAAACAACCCTAGAGTATGTTAACATATCTGAAAACTCAGTTGTGACCGGTAGGAAAATCAATTTTCATAAATTTAAGACCCTCATTTTAGAGATTTGAAATTCTGCCATCCACATCTTTCTGTTTATACTTTGTTAATGTGTATGTTATTTATAGGTAGGAGCACATACAGAGGTGGAACTTGAAGAACGTAAATTAAAAATTGAAGATGCAAAGAATGCCACATTTGCTGCTATGGATGAAGGGATAGTACCTGGTGGTGGTGCCACCTATATACATCTCTTGGAACGGATTCCCATCATAAAGAATACTATGGAGGAGTCAGATGAACAGATTGGTGCTGAGATTGTGGCAAATGTATGTTCTCTGATTCATTGCTATAAATTCATTACATTAGATAAGCTTTTGACAACTGTTACACCTGTGTCTGTGGTTATGTTGGCTTTCTTGCTTCTTCTTCTTCTTCTTTATTTATTTATTTATTTATTTATTTTTCATTTTGGGTCAAACAATCAAATCAATGGCTTCCATTCAATTTGGTTTTTTTCTATAAGTTACTGATCTGGTTAACTTAGCATTGTTTGTAAAGAGTAAATTTCAACTGTTTTGTCAATGCTAAATTTCAGGCTCTGCTTGCACCTGCAAAAACAATTGCAACCAATGCAGGTGTTGATGGAGCAGTTATAGTGGAAAAGACTCGAACAAGTGATTGGCGAACCGGGTACAATGCAATGACAGGAAGATATGAAGACCTTATCAATGCTGGAGTCATAGATCCTTGTCGAGTTTCAAGGTGTGCTCTTCAAAGTGCTGTCTCCATTGCCGGGATAGTTCTAACAACTCAGGCTATACTAGTGGATAAAACAAAGACGCCTAAGCCACTTTACCCCCATGTCCCAGGAATAACTGATGTAGCATCAAGTATAACTCCTCAAGAGGCAACATTAACATGATGAAAGCAGTGGTGTCCTAGGTAGAAGCTTTGAATTTCAGCTAACTTGGTTTTGCATGAAAATTTGAAAGGAAGAAGACAACAGACTAAGCTTACCATTTGCATATTATGCTGAGAGATCTGACAATACCAAGTCCACAGTTCCTGAACTTGGAAAGCCATGAAGGGGGGCGATTTGTACTGGTTCACCATCAACAAGAAGAAAGAAGAATGGTGGTATGTTCACCATAAGACACTGCCAGTGCCATTTCAACAGGAAAAGAGCCTTGTACCTAAAAATTTGGTACCCAGTGCTTTATAGAACTGAACTCCACTTTCCTCATTGATGTTAAAGAATTTTTTGTGAGAGTCATATGTTTATATCTGATCAGACCCCATCTCTCCTTTTCAATTTAGATGGAAAAATAATGAAGATTAAGATTATGAATATTAGATATATGAGTCAATCAAAAAGCATTACAATAGTAAAAACTATGTTTGAAACAAAATTACAGTTTTATATGAATTTATAATAGTCTTCATCACACAACTACTTCCACAAACATTTTATGATTATTGCCCTATGATCCCAAAGTCCTCCTTGAACCAATTCCTTTTTGACAAGTTACTTCACTGACCAAAGCAATGTCTACTTCAGAAATAACCAGAATTCTTAAGCTATCATCCATTATTCAACCGTCCTCTAACTGCCCATCTCCTTCTGGTATGTGTTCTAACTACTCTTTTCTTTAATACCATTTTTAAGATTATGTAAGTTCTATAATTTTTTTATATATATTCACCATTTGATGCAACAATTTTCCTTTTCCCCCTTTTCCGCGCTATCACCTTCAAATTTTGCCTTACAATTCTACACAAAAGTGCAATGATAGAATCTTAATGTCAAAGCCAAGTGTGTCTTCCTCCATTAAAAATACAAGTGAACCTTGTTTATTTTATTTATGATTCTTGGGAAGAAAGAATAGAGAGTTTAAAATACCATCATGCGCTCCACTAGTGTCCCTTGGGATTTAATCAAGCCTCATGCATCATGCATGACACCATTTTTTAATTTATTT